GGGTCCTCCGGAGGACCCGGCCTGTCGTTTTGGACACAGCCTATATAAGTAATATATAGTAAGTTTAAGTTGTTCTTTTTGCGACTGTTATGTTTAAAACAGTTGCGCTGAAGTTGTGAAATTTACAAAACGATATATAAAAGAAGGAAATCTATTGTCACACAATAAACTAAATGATCATTGTGCCTGTTTGTGTAGTTTGTCCTACCCTAGCTAGCTAGCTAGCGCTAGTGGTGCTCATGCAGAATCTTAATCTGTTAAATACACGTACGTATATGCGTTTCAGGAAATGGACAAGCTGAAAGCTTACGAGGAGCCTAAATCTACTCTAATGTTTTTCCTGTTTTTTTATTTTATTTTTATTTTTATAATGCCACTGTCAGAGATGTAATATGTTGTTGGTGTGTGTGTTTCCAGACATTGCTGCAAGATGTTTGACAGTGAAGATGAAAGGAGTATCCAACTTTGTCTGGTTAAATATGAATTATACTGTACATGAAGATTTTTTTCACAAATTACTTAAGAAGGAAAGAAGGCATGGAACATAAATAGTGAATGTAGAATTTGTGTATAACCTGTGTATAAGCTAAGTGCGACACTATAAATCTGATTTAGATTAAGTGACACAAAACAGCAACAGTATAAATTAAACAAACATTGCTGTTATAGCATTCACCAGGCAATGTTACACAGATGGTAGAGACTATTATTAACATGTAGCTAATTCTTTCACCCTTAAATGTTGTGTCATTTTCACAACAAAATGCTGAAGATCTGATTGGAATAACTTTCAAACAAGCTACTCACAATGTTAGCAGTTTTAGCTGATTATCAACAGATATTATGCAGCAGCAGAAGAGTTTTGTTGAAGTATGGGTGGAAGAAATGTGAAAATAGAAAATAGTAAAACTGGGAGAACATAGGAAGTATAATGAAGAAAATAAGATTGATCCTTGTANGTGTGTGTGTGTGTGTGTATGCGTGCGTGCTGCTGTCTTCAGTGGCGCATGAGGCTGAGAGACATTTCCACCTTTATATGTCTTTAATAAATGACTGTAAACACAGAGGAACKWTGAGTTTGGTAGAACTTAGAAAATATTTATTAAATAGTTGATGTGAAGAAACGAGTCRCAGACTCAAAGCGTTGCAAGTTTCTGCCGCAGTGTGATTTATATTTTAGAATCATGAAGTTTTGCATTCAGCTGCATGACTCCTCTCACTACAGTAAAATACCTGATAGTAATTTGTTAGATGTGATACAAAAAAAAAAACCACACACTGTCCTCAATTCTTCTTGTGGTGATATCAACCTGCAGAACAGCTGACATTGATCCATACGCACAACTTTACGCAGCAACAGATCTATTGTCTGCGTCATGTGGAGCTGAGCTGTTCTGAATTAATCTGCTGAGTTGACGTTTTTTTCTCAGTAAAAATTAAAAACGTTTCTTAGATAATTCACACACATTTTATTCTCAGCTGTGTGCGCTCCGCAGACCTGTGCTCTACATGTGTTTCCAACCAYGTGACAAAAATATAAAAACAGTTTACAGTTTACAGACTGGACTGAGGTTCTTTTAATCATTTTTAGACTGATCTATTTTCTTGTCTGAGGTTAAATGATTTTCAGTCCCAGGGTTCAGTTTCATGATCGTTCGAGTTTAAACAATAAAAACTCACACTAAAAAATAATCTAACACTGTGTTCAGACGCTCCTTACATCCAGAAAACACAACAAAGTCATATTTCTGTGGATTCAGGTCAGATTCGTGACTTTGTGAGTTAAAACTGTCGACTGAAAAAACTTTGCGTGGCTGCCGCACATTCTCACGGCAGGTGAAAAGTATGCGTAAATATACGCACACTTTCACACAATGTTGGTTTTGATACAACCCAACGTGGGTGTAAAACCTGGCGCACGCAACTTTTTTATGCGTACGCACCATTTATACATGAGGGCCCCGGAAATGCAGCCTTTTTTAAACGGGTTATATTGTGTACAGAAAACAGTGTGAACACACACATTGTGTGACCATCAGACTTTTCTGCTGCTAATAATTTAATCATCTTTAAAATGTAACTTCATGCAGTGATGATTTGAGGCCTTTTATATATTATATTTATCCTTTTTTAACCTACTACTGGTAGTTTATAATTACTACTATTAGTCCTATTACTACTCATATGTTGGATTTTTTAGCAGCAGCATGCTTCATATGTCTCCTTTAGTTTCTAATTGTAAAAATGGCCGTTTGTGCAATAAATCAGAGTTTTCTGTTCATCTCACATCATTAACTAAATCCAGTGGTTTATAGAGGAAGGGCAACAAACAAACCATAAAGGAGGGCTGGAATAAACTGATAATTTCTTTATCTTCCATTAAGCAAACAGAAACAGACTATTAGACAATTTGACTCTGTAAAAATGTTACTGTTCTTATGTTTGTTTAATAAAAACTGATGCTCACTGACCTCCACCCACCTTGTTTTAGATGCATTTTAGTAGAGAATTTGATCAAATTTTCAAACTTATTTTAGAGCTGTTTTTCCTTGTTTTACTCATAAGGCTTTGTACTGATCCCAAAACTGTTTAGTTTTTTAAAATCGACCCATCCATTAAAGATTTAGAGGTCATCAAAGGTTGAAAATTTGGAAGCAAGTGCAGCATTATTGCATCATAAAAACAATCGTGAAGCTTCGTAGACATATAGCGCGTCACAATTTCACAACAAATGTTCAAACCACAGCAGAAAACAAACTAGATGAAACATTTAGAAAGATTTTAAAATGATATGGGGGTCTAAGCATTAAAATAGTGACTGAAGATCACAAAAACCTGACCCATGCACTGCTGGAGTCGGACTAGGCATTTCTGAAAGTGCCTAATGTTAGAAGTAAAATGACCCTGTTGGGACTGTCTAGTTGTGTTCCAACTTGTGTATATGTGTACACACGGATATATATATATAGTATTAAGGCAATGGTAACTACGTAATGCTGTAGATAGGTCATTTTATTGTGTTAGGTTATGACGATTAGTATTATAATAATGAGTGATCATCTGTAATGGTGGCATTTGTATAAAGAATGTGTGAATGTGGGTGGGAGTAAATAAGTTTGTCCCACTCCTTTTCAAGTTACTTATTTTGTATTCTTTATTGTATTGTGTGTTTTTTTTAATGTATCGAGTACACTCCTGATCAMAATCTTAAGACCAGTCAAAAAAGTGCAAGAATTTGCATTTTGCACTATTGGATCTTAAGAAGGTTCTAAGTAGAGTTCACAATGTTAAAAGAAGAAATCAGTGCAAGAGACAAGAACTTTTGAGCTGGGAATTTTCTGAAAACTGCATTTACACTCAAACATGATTTTTTTCAGCTGAT